TGTGTGTGTGTGTGTGTGTGTGTGTATATATGTCTGAATGTATGTATGTATGTAGGCCTATGTATGTACCAAGAGCTCCTAAAAACCACAACAAATTCCTTGGCAAATAACTTGGCAAATAAATCTAATTCTGATTCTGATTCTGATTTAACATATTTTATACAACACTGATGACAAAGTTCATAATTCATGATAATCTAAATCTACTTTAAACAAGGCCCAACATGATCTGAGCGTAAAGTTCAGTGTTTGTTTCTAACGTTGTACTCTAATAATCCCTTTTTTAGGCAAATGGAGACAAGATAACCAGGAATACCTGACTGTAGATATTCTCCCCACTCCACAGTCTTAGATAAACCCAGTCAGTTTGTGATAGAATAACAGCTGAGCTGGACAGTGTGGACGTGTAAGTCAAAGCATATGATCTGATGTCTCCTAATTGTTTGTCATTACTTTTCTTCATTCAAAGTCGACTTAGCCTACTATGTCAATCTTTTAGAGGCCAAGGAACTCCTAAAATTATCATGGCAGTTTGAGGGACCCCAACCCAAATTTTTTTACACACATAAATATGTGTAAAATATATTTGGAAAATATTTCGTTTTTATTACGTTACATCATTTTTTTCCTACTCACTATTGTACTCTTAGATTTATGTATGTATATGAATTAAATCGAATGTTTTATGTATTTAACCAAATTTATTTAGTGAATCAAATTTATTTATTTACCTTAATTTACACTTTTTTCCCCCACTAACTTCACTGACTTTTCCAGGGGGCCTCTGCACTCTTCACGACCTCTGATGGTCCCCAGACCCCAGTTTGAAAACCAATGATGTCTATGAAATTTATGAAACTCTACATCATAGATTTATTAAGGATTATTAGGATTAGGTTTCTATTGACTATTAAAAGTAGGAACATCTAGTAAAATAAAGAACTATTCACTTAAGTAAGATTTGTTGAGACTGTTAGTAAGGTTGTATGGGTCACACACAGTATAACCTAGATTTACCTTTCCAGTGTTATGAGAGTTTAAGCACCATAAAGACATAGATATTGAAATGTGCTTCATTAATGAATTAGGTATGATTCTTTTAATATATTTAATATTCCCTCAATATATCCTCGCATAAAAGTAATCACATGAGGTGATTTGAAACATCACAAAATGCATCATTTGAGCACAAAGAGTAAAAGAGATTACTGCTGAACTTTGATTCAATCACTTCAGTGTCAGGTAGAGCCTAAAGGTTCGTTGTGTGTGGATGATTTCATCAGCACAGGTCACCCTTTGAACTTGTCCCAGGACTATATAAACCCATGGCTCTTTGGAGAACACACCATCAGCTCTAAGAACCCCTGGAAGCAAGGTAAGATTACAGCTACATCATGGTCATGTCAAACTCTGCTGTTGATTCTTAATGTACATTTATGAGGATATGACCAGAAACTGAAATTAATTATTGGCTCTTTCTGTTCAGGAAAATCTCGCTCAACCTGCAACCATGAAATTCTCCGTCATCGCCGTCCTTGTCGTTGCTCTGGCCATTGGTGAGACTTTACACCATGTTAACTTATGATGCTCTCAAGATATTTTGTTTTGTAGTATGGTAACTGAGTTAGTTTAGGGGTTAAATTACATAAGCTATAACAATGTGTGCGCTGGGTATTTTATTAGTACTTAACATAACAGAGTTTTTCACCTGATTTAGCTTGAGTGGCTGAGAGTAAAGATGCAAGACTGCATTGATCAAACATCTCTGTTCGTGTTCCAGGCTCTGAGTCAGCTTCTCTGGTCAAGAGAGATGCTCCTGCTGAGCTGGATAAGATCACTAAGTACTTCCAGGATCTTGTGGACAACCTGAAGAACATCGAGGGCACTGAGCTGGCCAACAAGGCCAAGTAAGTCCATTATCGTCATCCACTGTGGTGGTGGAAACTTCTTCTCAACTGTGAACTTAAATGATCAACACAATGATACATTTGAATTGATTTTATTAATGAATTCTCTTTGGTTTGTGTTGTAGCGTTTACTTTGAGCAGAGCAGAGCCCAGCTCCAGCCCATGGTTGAGAAGCTCCAGGAGCAGCTGAAGCCCCTCTCCAGCAACATTGAAGACCACATCAAGCCTCTGGCCGCCTCCGTCCAGGCTCAGGTCGCCCCCCTGGCCGGCTTGGTCCAGACCCATGTTGAAGATGTCCTCAAGTTTGTGGCTGACCAGACTAAAGCCATCCTGCCTCCCCAGTAAAACCATTCCTTAGTTCTTTTCCATTATGACACAGTCTCTTTGTATGTATGCTGGTATGTTTGAAATAATAAAAAGGATTAAAAACTGACCAATTTGTACTGGCTGGTTATTCACTTGTCTTACATTGTCTGTGAACAATATGACATTTGAACACTTTAAAATTTTTATTTAAACTTTTTTTTTTTTTTTTTTAGAAAACAACCCAACACTTATTGTGAGAAATAATGTAAAACAAAATATGGATTTTTAGTAAGGCTGTAATTTTTAAATATAGAGTGGGTGATGATTTGAGGGTAGCATGTTTAATACTTTGTTAAGTTTTATTCTTTCATTAACAAATAAGATAACTCAGGGACTGGTTGCATAAACTGCTTAGACTAGTCTTAAAAAGTTAGACATAATACATAAGACAATTTTTTTTCTTCAAAACTGGTCATCACTTTCTATAGTTAACCACAAATTAACCATGGTTTTGCTACACTAACCATAGATTAACCATGGTAGAAAGTAGTAAAACTGCGGTTATGCAAATTATATCAATACAATAATAAAAAACACACACACGGTTACTACACTTTTACTATAACAAAACCATGGTTAATTTTCATAAGGGACGAAATTGGTCTAATCTGAATCTGAAAGGTGTAACTGATTAGGTAGGCTACCCTTTGCATAGTTGGTCAAATATATACTGGCTATGTTTATGCAATTAGGCCCAGGTTATTTTTAAGTAGCTATGGTAAGAGATAGATAAGAATCATATCAACTGGCTTCAATAGTCTACTTTAACACCGAAAACAGTTTACTTCTCAGCTGATATTTTTCCATTACGTATGATTTCGTATCGTTCATAATTATTGCCTGCCCTTTTGAGGTGTTGACACGAGCGAGCAGACAACAAAATTTACCTAAATTCATTACTTCAGACTTATGTGGCCTCTAGAAGCTTGCGTTCTGCAAGTGAACGTCGCTTTATTGTGCCATCCCAAAGAAGCACAAAATCACTTTTACGGACTTTTAAATTAACTGTTCCCTCCTGGTGGAATGACCTGCCCAACTCAATCCGAGCAGCTGAGTCCTTAGCCATCTTCAAGAATTGGCTAAAAACACATCTCTTCCATCTTTATTTGACCCTCTAACTCTAGCACTCTCTATTCTAATTCTATTCTCCAAAAAAAACAAAAAAAACCTTGCTACGTGTACTGCGTTAAGCTAACGGGGACTTGTTATAGCACTTGTATATCATTGTTCTTTTGTTGATTTTGATTGCTTCCATTGTCCTCATTTGTAAGTGGCTTTGGATAAAAGCGTCTGCTAAATGACTAAATGTAAATGTAAATGTAACAATAAATCGCATGCGCAGAGCTAGTGTTCGCCCACAAATTTGGAAGTAGCCTACGCTACGCTTGTTACATCGAACACATTCACTAATAAAACAGTGCGACTTGTGAAAAGGGCTATTTTAGCTCAGGCACCGTTTGTGCTACAGACATAGATGACAGGCTACCTCAAATCATATGATCATATAACAAGTAGCCCAAGCAACCATCCAGAACACTATAATCGCATTGCAACATTTGGGTGTTCCTCCTGATTCTAAATTGAGTTCAAAAACAGGTTTTTACAGTTCACATTTTAGAGTATTGTCAAACTATTTAGTAAAATCATTGCATTTAAACTTATTAAAATGCATTTAGCTATATTTACAATATAAAACAAGGAAAACGTTCTAATTATAATAAGCTATACAGCTAGCCTAAATGCAACTTATTTAATAGAAAACAAATGTAATTAGGATTTTTTTTGGTCATTTTAAGTTGCCTTGTCTAATCTTACTTCATATATTCTAATCCCAAATGACAAAGAATAAAAGCAATGAAACATAATTAAAACAAAACAGCATTTAATAGACCATGCTACCAGTGTCACGCATCTGTTTTCATCCTAATTTTACTACATTAAAATATTTTATGCATGCTAAATCAGACTCAAAGACAGTTATGAGACAGTTTCATACAATAAAAGAAAGAAAACCTGGAGGTATAATGGCGTTTAGGTAAAGGCTGTGATGAAGTTCATGAATAAAACTAAATATCAACACATTCACATCATCTCACTGTCACTAAAATCACCTTACAAGCAGTTTTGGGCATACATTTATTTAAATCAGATTCCAAAACAGTATTTTCAGTTCTTAAACGGAAAACAAAAACTAATTTCTGTGTACAAAAATAAGCCGGTTTATTTCTGAACACACTGAGGACAGTTCAGAACCTTCTGCAGTGTTGTCTTTAAAACTGATGAAGTCATCAGGTGACTGATTACACAGATTACTATTGAACTTTGAGTAAATCACTTCAGTGTCAGGTAAAGCCTAAAGGTTTAGTGTATATGGATGATTTCATCAGCACAGGTCACCTTTGAACGGGTGCAATCCCAGCATCCCGGGACTATAAAAACTCATGGATTCTTAGAGAACTCACCATCACAACATCAGGCCTAAGAACCCCTGGATACAAGGTAAGATTACAGCTACATTATAACAATGGTCATGTCAAACTCTGCTGTTGATTCTTAACATGTACATTAATTATTGTCTCTTTCTGTTCAGGCAAATCTCACCCAACCTGCAACCATGAAATTCTCCCTCCTCGCCATCCTTCTTGTTGTTCTGGCCATTGGTGAGACTTTAACCCATGTTAACTTTTGATGCGCTCAAGATATTTGGTATTTTGTGTATGTAATACAGTAACACAGACAGAAACTAGAACAATGTGTGTTGTGGGTATTTTATCTTCACTCTGTAAAGTACTTAACATAACAATGTGCCCTGTAGAAACGTACAGTCTTTCACCTCATTTAGCAAGAGTAATGTCATTTAAGATGTAAGACTGCATTGATCAAACATCTCTGTTCGTGTTCCAGGCTCTGAGTCAGCTTCTCTGGTCAAGAGAGACGCTCCTGCTGAGCTGGAGAAGATCGCCAAGTACTTCCGGGATCTCGTGGACAAGCTGAAGAACGTCGAGGGCCCTGAGCTGGCCAACAAGGCCAAGTAAGTCCATGAGCTTCATCATCTTTGTGCAATGAATCTGCAACTTAAACAATGTTAGTGAAGATCACAACTGGTACTCAGCTGGTCTTCATTGATCATTACACTCTTAAAAAATAAAGGTTCTTTATTGGCATCAATGGGTTCCATGAAGGGACTTTAAAATCTATGGAACCTTTTTCCATGGAAAAAGGATCTTCAGATTAGGAAAAGGTTCTTTTAAGAACTGTTCACTGAAAGGTTATTTGGGGAACCCAGAATGGTTCTTCTATGGCATCATTGTGAATTTTTACTTCTAATTCAAATAACAAATTATGATCTGCAATAAGAAATTATTAGTATGAATATAAGTCCTTCATATAACTAATTGTTCAGGCAGAAGAGCAGTGCTGATTAACTTGGTTTGTGTTGCAGCGCTTACTTTGAGCAGAGCAGAGCCCAGCTCCAGCCCATGGTTGAGAAGCTCCAGGAGCAGCTGAAGCCCCTCTCCAGCAACATTGAAGAGCACATCAAGCCTCTGGCCGCCTCCGTCCAGGCTCAGGTCGCCCCCCTGGCCGGCTTGGTCCAGACCCATGTTGAAGATGTCCTCAAGTTTGTGGCTGACAAGAGCAAATCCATCCTGCCTGCCCAGTAAAACCACAGGAATCCTTCTTAGTTCTCTTCCATTTTGTTCTCTTTTTATATATTTAAAATAACAATAAAAGTGATTTTTAAAGGTCAATGTGAGATCTCCTCCTTTTTTCTCACAAACTGTGTTTTTTCTTTGCACATCTCACATGTATTAAATGCAGTAGCCATTTTAAAAAACAAACATTTAAAGACGTTTTTGAGTCGACAAATCTAAAATGATTTAAATCAAACCTTCAGAAGGAAGACTGTCTTTAATTTTCCTGATACTTTAAATGTGTTCGAAAGTGAAACAGCGGAGAAACCTAATAACAATTCCTATAAAATATATTATAGTAGTAATGTTCCTTTAAAAAATATATATTTATTATTATTATTATTATTTTCCCCATAGATTTATGTTTTTGAATCCATATTTAATATGCATGCTCTGAGGACAGATGGTTGGATGGTGGGGCGGTATCAGTGTCATACATTTTTTAAAAATACAGAAACAATTAAATGAAATACTACATTTGTGTTTGGAACTTTCTAGTCATTATCTCTAATTTAATTAAAAGTAGAAATGTTGCTATTTTAAAAATTGTGGGACATTTAAATTTCAGTGCCATATCTCAAAGACCAGTGTGATATATTAATATGACCAGGTTTGTTTTTAATGAAAGAATTAAGGGCATTTTAACAAATATATTTGATACAATTCCTAAATTATTCCTAAATAACACTTACAAGTGTCAGTTAAGCTATCCTAAATAAAACACACATTCACAACAACCCACATACATCTGAATAACCACACGAGCAAATTTAGGTACATTTATTTCCAAATGAATATCCTCAGTTCATGTCAGTCATGTCATTTGGCAGCAGAGGGCAGTGTAAATAAATGAACTCTGCTTATTTTCTGTGTGCATTGAAGGCATTCATCTCAGCGCCGTGAGGTAGACTATGATTTGTTGTCTTCTAAGATAACAAAAACAACAAAATCACTAGTCTTCCACATGGCAATGAAATTCACATACAAACTCTCCAGTCGTGATTTTAATCGCCGCTTCTTTCTGTCAATGCAACACCTGGCCTGCAGACTGCAATCACTGTCCCATTTGAGCACAAATCAATGATTTATATACATCTGTCAGAGTTTTCACTCATTATGAAGCAATAATTTGGTGGTTTATCAGCTTACATCCCCATGTAATATCTGGTGTGAAGGTCACACAGGCGTGAGGGACACGCTGTGAGTCCGCATGACCTTCTCCTTGTACAGCGAGATAAATAAACTACAGCAAGCTATTCATGCACATGTCAGCCTTCATAAAGCACATTTTTGTATCTCTCTTTGAAATTCAATGCCA